CAATATTTGCGCCTTGCTAATGATAATATGCAGTCCCACAAAGAGCGTTTCCGCAGCGCAACTCGGTAATGATAAGCCGTGAGGTTAGAGTCATTAGCGATGTAAATGGCACTTATGTATCATACGGGATATTTGTATTTTGTAGCCTTGACTTGTAGTGAATGATTCCAAAGTCATCTCTTACATTTACTTTTGCAAACCATTTTTGTGAGATTTACGTTTTTGTGAACTGATACTATAATTAGTTTCTCACCTTCGTTGACTTTCTCCTGCGCAATTAGCGATTGTAGGTCGAATTTGGCGATTACCGACGTAGAAATTGAAGCCAGTCTTGATGCATTGCACTGCTTGATGGATTGATGTAATAATTACGTAACTTTTGTAATGTACGTATTGCCTTTTCGTAACAAGAAAACTCGACAACCAATTAAAGAGGAAAAGTACTGTTCTGCGTTTTTCTTAAAAGCTTCATCAAATGGATGATCCTGTAGTCCGTAAAACGTTCCTTCGATATATATCGAGGAAATATCTACTTCCCATTTGCTGCCTCTGTAAGCTACTTCCGATCTTTTATCTATGCGTGGTTGCTTATCTATGATCTTAGCAGGCCTCTAATTCCCGCGTCTGATGGATTGTCTGAAGTTGACATAAAGAAATTGCGCTAAAATGCCTTTTTCACTTTTGCACTTTGGTGTAAGTTCTCGCGTGGAATTGAGCCACTGTAGAGAAATTTCATAATCACTCACAATATTAAATTCTATTCTGAACTTTAAATTTGACAGAATTTCTCCTGCTCTGCATGTTGCCTGGTCAAATCCCGCAGAGCATGCAAATCCATAAGGAACTGCATTCCGATTTTACGATAAGAACGCCGGATCTTTACAAATTGAAGAAGGAGATCGCATTTCATTCTGGAACTACACAAAAAAGCAAGGCTTAGCCTGCAAACTTTGTTTTCTATGGATTGGGCAGTTCTGTGTTATTAGAATTGAGCATCCCCATGCCGTAATGTTAGCATAACCTCACCGCAATCAAAACTAAGAAAGGGGCATCTTCATTAAGTTAAAAAACTAGTGGATTACACGGGCTCAGCATCTACTTGAACTACCTGCGTTTTGAAAGAAAAACAGCAAAAGGTGTTTAATTTCGTGCTCTCCACGTTTACTTGTATCTGCTTGGCAAATATTGTTTGTTTTGAAAAAAGCTATATCATCCAGTTTCATGGAGGGAAATCGGTTTGTTATAAATGATTATGTTTAGTTTGAACGTATTACAATTTCTTCAACGAAAGCGCTCGGATTTTAAGTGGGGCGATATGGCTTTTGAATGTTTCAGTGTGTCCTCCAATACCCGACATAGTGCATATTTCAG